CTCGCCTGCTCCTCACCCCATTTCCCGTTGCCTGCTCTGACCATTGTTGCTTCTTGTTCTTCAATCTTGAACCATTTGCTTCAGATTCCTTCTGCAATATTTCAAATGTAAACAGTAAACACCTGAACTATTTTGCAAGCTCTTATTTTCTTGGAGCTTTACTTCAATGGCGGCTATGGACATTAGTCATTACCATTATCTTCTTCTTCTTCTTCTTCTTCTTCTTCTTCTTCAGTATATGTGATATTTTTTTTATTCTTCGTTCAACTTATTTTCTTTGGTTTCCTTGCGCTGTGGGATATTAAGAAAGGAGAGAATGTTGTAACAGATTTTGTAGTAGTGAGATATTAAGAAACCATTGTCGCCATCACCATTTTCACCACTCATGGTGGTATTCCTCCAGGCGTAGTCATTAAAACACTACAAAGGCTATTAGAATTGAATAAACACTACAACATTTTTAATGGTATTTTCTGATGATCGGAGAAATTTTTCGGCCATGGTAGTGGAGCTGTTGGTTGTAAGGGGAAGAGATGGTGGAGTAAGGAAAAAAATAAAGATAAAGTCAAGTTTATTTTTCTATGTGGCACTACTAATGACGTGGCATCCTACGTGTAGGAAATTGTATTATACGCACAACAGCCTCCTGTCATAAGCGTTTATTATTCATGTTTTGAACGAGTATAAGTGTTCAGTTAGCAAATATCTAACTTTGGGGACCGACATGACAAAGTGGGTAAAGTACAGGTGTCATTTAGGCTATTCTGCCTACTAATATTCGGAGGAAGTTGGGCGTCGCCCCTGTGGATGACAAGATGCCGGAAGCGAGACTCAAATGGCTCGGGCACGTGCAGAGGAGAAGCATCGATGCTCCGGTGAGGAAATGTGAGCGGTTGGCCATGGTGGGTACGAGAAGAGGTAGAGGGAGACCTAAGAAGTATTGGGAAGAGGTGAGGTAGAGGGAGACCTAAGAAGTATCAGGCAGGACACGGTACGTCTGCAGATTTTCGAGAACATGGCCCTTGATAGGAAGACCTGAAGGACAAGCACTAGAGTTGTAGAATAGGGGTAGTGGAACTTTCCTTACTGCATACCGGGGGCGAGGCGGGGTTGGATTAGGGTTGATCATAGATGGCTTGCAGTTTATGTTGGACCCATACTATTCTTGATGTTTATTTTAGATGCCTTAAACTCTGGTTACTGTTATTGCATGTCATTCATCTTTTGGTGTTTATGTTTCTGTTACTATAATGGTTTTTACTGGAGTTACTATAATGAATTCTCTTTTCTTTTCTTGAATTCCTTATTTTTCTTTATTTTCGTCGTTCTGAGCCGAGGGTCTATCGGAAACAGCCTCTCTACCTTACCGGAGCAGGGGTAAGGTCTGTGTACATATTATCCTCCCCAAATCCCACTATGTGAGATTTTACTGGATAGTTATTATTGCAGTATAATACTACTCCCTCCGTTCCAATTTATTTGAACCCATTTGACTGGGCACGGAGTTTAAGAAAAAAATGAAGACTTTTAGAATTTGTGGTCCTAAACAAGTCTAACTGGGACCCAAAGTATTTGTGTGGTTATAAAAGCTTCTCATTAAGGGTAGAGTGGTAACTTTAAGCTAAATTCTTACCAAATTTAGAAAGGGTTCATTCTTTTTGGAACGGACCAAAAAGGAAATAGGTTCACATAAACTGGAACGGAGGGAGTAATACTTTTGTAGAATATACTAAAAAAATGAGCCACTAATTAAAGGAATAACCTTTTGGTTCTTTAGACGGGCAATAATTGAGTCCCAAATATATATAATTTGTCCTTTATCCCGTCCATCGATGTGACATGCAGAACTTTCGTTTTTCTCTTTCACATCGAAAGATATGACTATTAAACTAAAGTCTTTATTTTTTTAATAAAAATTTATATTCAGTCAAATAGGTTCACATCAATCAAAAAGATCAAATTGGTTTTTATTCACGTCTATCAATACTACTAAGTGACTCAGTTTCAAATATTTGCTATAAGTGACTGTTTTAAAATTATTGGTAATGACACATATTAATTAAAAGCCTCAAAAAAATATCAAATTGAAGTTCTCTGGCTAGTCTGAATTATATCAAAAAAATAATTTTCAAGAGTAAGACATTTTATAGAAGTAATTGTTATCAAGGTAGGAGAAAAGCAAAATGGATTCATGTACTAGTTGTTACTAGCAATTGAAAAACTTACAGATATCAACTTAATTAGAGATTTGAGAAAGAAGTCTCACAATCAATCAGCCTTCGCCTGTTTTTTTGTATCTTCAATATCTGATCTAATCCTAAAAATGAGCGAAAAAAGTAATAATTAAAATCTATATATAATTAAAAGGAGGGGATAAAAGCCCCTCATTAAGCCAAGTGGCGCATTTATTAGATGACACGTGTAATCTTTGGACAAGCTTCCTACAAAATTGGAATTCAAAAACAAAATTCAAAAAAAAAAAAAATTATATAAGCTAAATCTTCCAAAAACCGTAGGTAAATTTTTTTAATTAGGTTAGTTTCCACCAATAAGGGCGGTTAATTTTATACTTTATTAAAACTAATAAAAAAAGGTCAAAAAACTCCAGAACCGCCGGTTTTCATATTTTTTTTACAGTTAAGTACATTAAATTTATATAAAATTATTTAATAAATTATTTTTTTAATTTATTGCAAAATCGGCGGATTTCGTGGGTTAAAGAATATTTTATCAAAAAATCGTGTGCAAACCGAAAAAACCCATGATCCCACGTTCAGTTCTTTTAACTGAACGTGTGCAAACCCAAAAAACCGTTTACTTCAGCATAAAATTATCTAAATTAAATTTATTTTTATTAATTGTACTCAAACGTTGCCCGAAGCGTTAAACACCAGAAAAATCGGTTACCAGATTTTTACTTGAATAAACCCTATATTTTATCCGCAGAGTCACGTTTCCTCTCTGCAGAGTCACGTTAATTTGAACTGTCAAACCCAGGATTTGCAAAACTGGGTATAAACTGCTGCAACATCAAAATATATTTCTTTTATTTTTGTATCTGGTTTTACATGTGTTGTGGATTTGAGCAGTCAAGATGGTTGGATCAGACGAGAACTTTTCAGGTGTGATGAGGGCTTCAAATCTTCAAGGTGAGTTTTATTAATATTTGATTAATTTCTTTTGTTATGTTATGTGTTCTTGAGTTTGTGTTTGTTTTGCTTTTTGTGTGTTTGTGGATTTGACTGTTAGAGACCCTAATCTATGAATTGGGAAATATATGGTATTTTGTTATTAGGGGGGTTAAGGCCTGGTGTTGGAGGAGGAAAATTGACTGCAGGAGTTGGACAAAATAGGAGGGCACTTAGTACAATCAATAGGAATGTAATTGGAGCTCCCCCTTTAACCTATGCTGTCAACAAGAGAAATGGCATTTCTGAGTAAAAACTTCTTAAACCCTAGAACTCCAATTCCATTTCTAATTTTTCTTGATTTTACAACATGTTTTGATTTTATTTTATTTTTTCATTTCTTTTCCAGCAACAAAGCCAATGCTGCTAACAAAATCCCTCCTGTTCCGATTCATCGTCCAATCACAAGGTTTGACTCTATTTCGTGTCCTAAACATTTGTTTACACCTGATCTCAAATTCCCTTTAATTGACTGTGGAGTTCTTGACATTTCAGAAGTTAGCTGCACAAATCGCAAGCAAACAACAGCAATCTGCAGTTGAGGTAACATTTTTCAGTGCGATCTTGGTTTATATGGCTGAGCTGCTGTTAATACTGTTGTATTTCCTTAGGTGACAAAGCGACCAGTCCCAGTGGCACCAGATAGAAATGAATCAGAAGACTGCATTATTATCGATGCTGAAGAATACAAGGCTACTGGTGATTCTTCCGTGCCAATGTTTGTGCAACATACTGAAGCAATGATGGTGGAAATTGATAGGATGGTAAATTCTGACATGATCTATATAGGTTCTTATTTTATTTTTTTTGTGTGGATTGCCATTGATGTTGGTCTATTTTATGATTTAGGACGAGGAGATAGAAATGGAAGATGTAGAAGACTGTCCAATTGTGGATATAGACAGCACTGATAAAAAGAACACGCTTGCAGTTGTGGAGTACATTGATGACATCTATGCTTACTACAGGAAGACTGAGGTAGAAATATTACTCCACTCTCCCTTCTGTTATGCATTGACGACATCTTAACTGACCCTCCGTTGTCGTTGATGCAATATAATTTAGATGAGAAGGAACGGTTCAGGGACTTACGAGCTCAGAAGAGTCTGAGTACCATTGACCCAAGCTCCGAAGAAGTCAGAGAGTATTTCCGTAAAGAGGAATTCCTTAGGTATTCAATTCC